ACTGCCTCCCTGGGCTCCAGAGGCTCTCTGAAATGTGGAAACGGGCCAATTTCCGGCCTTCCCGAACTTCCGGGAGGGTCACTTTTTGCCTTCCCTGGGCTCCAGAGGCTTCTCTCGGGCCGGGGGAGTGAAAATGGCCTCCCCAGGCTCCGGAGGCTCTCTGGAAGCTGGAAATGGGCCCATTTCCGGCCTTTACGGACTTCCGGGAGGCCCGTTTTTCGCCCTCCCTTAACCTCCGCGCGCTCCCTGCACTTCCCTGCATCCCGAAGGGGCAGGGCTGGCGGGACCAGCCAGGAGTGGGATTTGGGGTTTCCAAACTGTGCAGAATCTTAGCTAGGGGTTCTCGCGAAACTCCAGTAGCCCACCCTTGCCTGTACTAGATTAATTAATTTTTAAAAAAAATCAAGGCAGTTTACTATGGTATTTCTTTTCTTTTTCTTTTTAATAAACTTTATTCGGTTTTCAAAAGTTTTTAAAAACATAAGATAAAATTATATACATCGTATCAACTTCAAGTCATCGTTTCCTTTTCCTTATACATGTTTCTATACTTACATTCTTGTTACATTGCATTACCATTGCATATTCTTTCTCTTATTACAGATTTATATATTTTCATCATATATTTCTGTTTTCTCCTCAGTGAATATATACATTTCTATACTTAATTTCTTATTCTTTACCTAATCGTAACTTTAATTTCTTTTTATTCTTAAGCCACGCATCCCAGGCATCCCAGACTATATAATATGTCAATTCCTCTTTATCTTTCAGTCTCAGTGTTAGCCTGTCCATCTCTGCACAGTCTAATGTTTTACTTATAACTGCTCCTTCTGGTGGTACATTTCCCTACTTCCAGGACTGTTCATAAGAGATCCTAGCAGCCGTTCATATACGTAACACAATATATCTTATCTTTTTTACTGTATTTCTATGGTGTTTCTTTCATTGGTGTTTTAGGTCCAGCCATCTTACATACTTCTTAATTCCAGGATTCAGTGCTGACAAACATTTCCATTGTCGATTGACTGTATGCCATTAAATTGGTGTTGATTCTTTGATAAATTTTCTCCCGGAAGTTGGAGGTACCCATTGCCCCCGTTACCGCGTCCATTTCCCCAAGCTGAGAAATTGGAAAGGAACAGGTTTCAACACAGAAAGTTGTTCCCTCTTCTCTTAAATGTGGAGAAGAGTGAACAGCTTATTCTCCTGCAATCCCTTTCTCTCCTGTCTCTTTGGTAAGGGAAGGGGAAAAGCACACTGACCAAGAACAAGATAACACATGTTGTGATGACGATCGTACGATTGAGGGGTGCTGCAGCTGTTGCAAATGGACTGTGAAATTATTGTTGAAACCTAGAAGGGTTGCTGAATTAATGGTCAGTAAGTGAGGACTACCTGTAGTTTAGTCTTTACATTTAATTTTAATCCCATTTTTTATGGCGCTCTTGACTTTATTTTTTTTCAAACCTCTTGCAGCTCCTTTGCATCTTTAGCTATCAGAACAATGTCATCTTCCTAATGCAGATTATTGATGTTTCTCCAGATTTAAAGCCACGCTCGTCTTTTACCATTCCAACAAGATATATTTAGCATGTAAGTTGAATAACTGAAGGGAGAATATACAGCCTCATCTCTTACTTTTGCCAGGCTAGAGCCAGTCTGTTTCTCCATAATCTATTTGGCCGGTGACTTCCTGCCCTGTGTGTAGATTTGGCATCACAATCATCTAGATGTCCCATTTTTTAAAAGCAGTCCACCAGTTGAGATGATCAACCCAGTCAAAGGTCTTCCTCTAATCAGTAAAATACATATTGACTTATTTTTGTCAGTCTTTGAGTTCTCAGTTATCCAGCAGGCATTAGTAATAAATCTCATATTCCTCGACCTTCTCTAAAGCCCACTGGAACATCTGGCATCTCTTTCCATCCTAGCCTCTTAATCCTCAGCATCATTTTGCTTTTATTGCAGATTTAAAGATACTGAATTAATAGTTTGCGTACTCTGTTAAGTCTCCTTTTTTGGAATTTCAGTTGACCTAATATGTTAGCGGTTGTGCCATTCTCAGATTTCCAGAGATCACAGTTGTTCTGTCCTCACTACATGTTAGTCTGTGTACAGCTCGACATGCAGCTAAACCCACCTATCCTCCAATAAAACTGTGCGTAGATCTGGATGCTTTATTGAAAGAACAGGATATGGTGAAACGGGGGAAAATAGAGATACATACAATGAGAACCAATTACAAGATGGACAGTATTCCGTTACTGCTGAACCTAACAATAAATACAAGCAATTTAAAGCATGTGCCGCCAATTAAACTGGATTCTTCTTTGTGCTTCAGCCGTCTCCAAATGCTAAAGGAAATGGAGTCTGACTTCCCAGCATGCACTTGTTTTGAGAGTGCAGGCTGATGGGTAAATGGGTTGACTCAGCTTCAAACAATATACTTTGTATTTTGTCTCTCCGGCCACTAGATGGAGATGGAGCGCAAAAACTTTAGATAAAGATCGTATGTTGGGGCATATTTGTCCCTCCAACCACTAGATGGGGCTAGAGAGAAACAACAGTATATAAAGGTTATATGCTGGGGCATGACAACACTTGAGCCCCCAATTTGTGTTGCTAAATGAAATATTTGTTAAGTAAGTTTTGCGACCTTTCTTGGATGATTGAGAATCTCCACGGACATATCACTTTTCTCAAGCTTTTTAGCTGCTTTAGGTTTGTGATCCTAGTTGTCTTTTCCCTACTGTGACACAGTGGCACCGTTTGAACTGTTGTAACAGTCTCCAAGGTTGATGCAGAGAGAGCGCTTAAGAGCCCCAGAGGTGACTAATTTCTCACCTCAATCCTGTTGATAGCACATTCATCCTAATACAGTTAGATTTACGGCCACCATCAAGCCCAGCATTTTATGTTGCAAAGCGAGAAATTTGTTAAGTGAGTTTTGCCCCATTCTAAAGCCATTTTTGCCACAGTTGTTCAAGTGAATCACTGCAGTTGTTAAGTTTGTAGCACGGTTGTTCAACGAATCTGGCTCCCACCCCTGGACATTGCTCATCATAAAGTCACAAAAGGGGATCATGTGACCCTGGGATGCTACAACCATCATAAATATGAACCACTTGTCAAGCATGTGTGTAAATCACGTGACCATGGTCATAAATGTGAAAAGTGCTCATAAGTCAGTGCTTTTGTAACTTTGAACGTTCGCTAAACGAACTATTGTAAGCCAAGATCTATCTTGTATAGTTTGATTAGAATTTTGGTCGGTTCTCCTTCTGATTCTTATATTTCAGTGAGTATTTCATTAGTTCTTGTAACTTTCCAACTTGGTAATGACTAGTGTTCCACTACTAGAGGGTCTTAGAAATAGAGTTTTTCTTCCAAAGCATCTCAGAAATGTACAATATTTTGGTGTAGCCCTTCCATCCTTGTTTATTGCTTTTTAAAATGGTTACTGTCTGTAGGAAAAGCGCAATCAGAACTGAGGTTGGCGTTAAATGCGCTATTAGCTCAGAATCTTTACATGGCCACACATGTTCCAATTCAAATTCCTCCTGAATTTCCTTGAATTCTTATCTGGCGCCACTTTAAGTGTTGAATTTGAGTTGACCGGATTCTTGTGTACAGTCTTGAATCAATTTTCAGTGCTACAACCTCAGCAGTGTCACTTATTATTTGCACCTGACATTAATCTGGTCAGTTCCGGTTCATATATTCATATATTGTATATGTGTGCAGAGTGTGTTGCTGATTCCTAATTCCTTGTCGTTCTGTTTTTCCCTCCCGTTAGAAATGTTACGAACAAAAACAGTACAAAAATGGTCTCAAATTCTGTAAGATGATCCTCTCTAATCCAAAATTCGCTGAACATGGAGGTACGTTTGGAATTTTGTTTACTTTGTTTCCTTAAAGCCATGTAGTGATGTCTTGTTTACTAAGAGCTGTTCAAAGGCAATTGCTTCACCAAGAAGTTTACGAATGTGAACCCACTGTTGTTGTGATGACACAAAGCTTGTGTTAATTACGTTGGTGCATTGAGAGCTGTTGGTTGGTTAAGATGCTACACATCTAGGGACCAAATAGAAGTGTTTATATTTGTAAGAAACCGTCTAGAATCCTAAATCAGAACTTCCAAATATAACTGAAAGACACCATCAACAGACCTTTCCATTCTAAAACCTAAAGCAACTAATTTTCTGAAGGAAACTTAAAACTTTCAATCATGGCCTAATCTATACATGTGACAGAATGAGATGACAGAGCAATTTTAATCCTGCTTAACCTGCATTATATGTCCTATTTTTTAATGGACTAATCCCTTTATTTTTTTTATTTTTTTTTGAAAAAGGTAGAAATTTTCCAAAATGGAGAGGAAAAAATATATGTACGTTGGTAAACGAATGTCTCTGTGTATGCTTGTATTTTTTTAAAACCTGGATATGCCTTACCCTTAAAGTTCATTTTTTAAAAAAATCTATTTGGGTTAATATTTTGTATAGTGTTCAAATATGATTCATCCGTGGCTCTTTGAAACAAGGTTCTCCGCTCTATCATCTCTTTCTGCTATTACGTGTTTTTCAAAAAGAGTCCATGTCCTTGGATAAGTTTAGAAACTGAAGTAGAAGTAGCTAATCGTAACATAAAAAGAACTAAAATCAAAAATTATCCTTTTATGTGGAACAGTGGTTCTCTCACATTCAGGAAAATATTCACACCATCCTTCAGAGATCTCCCAGCTTTTTAACTCCGACAATCCTAGCTTTTTATTATCCTGGTTTTTACAGCTTTTGTGTCATCCTCACTTCAAAATGCAGGGTTTTTTTTAAATATATATTTTATTATTAATTAATTAATTTACATCTGTACTATGTGTGAACAGAGTTGGTTCCGGGTATCATTCATATTTATCCAATTCAAAATAACAGTATTCATAATTTCTATCACATTTATCCATTTTAAATAATCCTCATTATATCATTCAAACAGACATAGGCAAAAAATGTCTAACTCCTCATCTTTATCTCTACCTTCTTGTTCAATCTAAACATTTCGCTATTGTTCCTGAACAAATTTGACTAGGTATCATTCATATTGATCCAATTCACGCTAACATTGTTAATAGTCTCTTATCACATTCATCAAATTTATATAATCCTTATTTGAGTATTTAAACATACATCAACAAAAAATGCCTAATACCTCATCTTTATCTCTATCTTTCTTGTTCAATCTAAACATTTGTCTATTATATATGAACAAATTTAACTAAAATGCCATTTGTTAAGGCAAGTTGGAAGACCATTTGGGTCTACAGATTGAAATATTTCAGTGAGAGAGGATGGAAATTCAGCCTTGGTTGTTTTTTTAAAAAAAATAATATGGTGGCAACGTTGGGAAAAATCTAGCCTTTTTATCTTTGCACTTCCTTAAAGCAGATTTAAAATGGGTTCACTATTCAAAAAGTTTACTGTGTTTTTTTTTTTCCAGAGACGTTGGCCATGAAAGGGCTGACGTTGAATTGTTTAGGGAAGAAAGAAGACGCGTACGAATTCGTCCGGAAAGGGCTACGGAATGATGTCAAAAGTCATGTGTGTATCCTTTGAAATTGTACCTCTTGTTTTTGTTTTTTTTGCCGAGGAGGTCTGTTCTCAAACTTCATTAGGAAATAGGCCAGTGTGGATGACCCACGGTGGGATACAAAAGCAACACAGTCACAAAAACAGGTGAAGTCCCTTTCATACGTTCAACTTGGCTTCAAAGCTCCCAATATCTTTGACTGCAGACAAAAAACTCCCCCACAGTTGCTAAAAAGAGGAAATGATGTTCAAACTAAAAATATCTATAAATTATAGATAGAAAAAAACAATACAAACCACACTGAAGCAATTAAGGGAACCAGGCAAGATAAGGGCTTGAAGATGTCCACAGATATCAGAACACACACTGGGGAGAATGCCAAATTCAAATAAGAACGGACAGACTAGAGATATTTTCACGCTTTGTTTCCAGCACTGGCCTATGTGCAGTCCGCCCTTTTAAACAGTCCTCACAGCTGCAGCCCGTGAAGGGGATCAAGGCCCTTTCCTCCCCTGTAGACCATGTCATTCACGTTTCTCCCTTATCCTCTCCTCCCTACATGCCCTAGCATGGAGAGGGGATGAGCCTGTATCCTCCTCTGACTGCCCAGCCGGCCTCTGTCCTTTCCCAGTTTCCTCCACAACCTCCGGAGCCACACTCTCACTCCCTGTCAGCTGTTCCTCCTCTCCCTCGGAGTCAGACTCCAACAGGGGCATGACAGCCAGTGTCTTGTCTACACAAATGAATTAAAGTGATGGGGCTGTTTTGTTTTAAATTACTCTCCCTTATCAGATTGGGGAAGAAAGGGGGCCATCCCTAGTTTCTTGGACTGTAAAGATTTGCGGGGGTGGGGGGGCGAGATACAGGTATTCCTCGATGTACGACTACAATTGAGCCAACAAAATTCTATTGCTAAGTGAAATATGTATGAAATGCGTTTTGTTCTATTTTATGACCTTTCTGTCAGAGCTCCGGTAATTAACACCATTTAAATCATGAGCCTCTAGCCAGATTTTCAAAGCTTAAAGAAGATTTATTAGGAGTAAACATGCTGGTGCTACCTGGGTGTAGGCGACTCTGAGACACATCATTCATTGTCATCCTTGACCTTGGTTTCCCCTCGCCCCCTGGGTGTATCATAATTCATATTCTCCAATGGGACACACCCATAGCCCAGAGTCCTCAATCATGCTCTCCAGTTAGAGGCAGATATTTCTCTGGGCACACTGAGATTATATCTGATGAACAAAACTCCGAACTGGTGACAGGAAGGGCATCTGGCCAGTAAAACACTCTGCTAGCTCCATTCAGTTGCCCAGACTCCACCCCGCAAGGGATTATGGAGTTGTTAAATGAAGATGATGACCACGAGGATGTGTGAAAAACGGTTCTTAGTCCCTTTTTTCAGTGTCATTGTAACTTTGAACCGTCACTAAATGAACAGTTGTAAGTTGAGGACTACCTATAATAATGTCAAACTCCTGTTTATCCTTACACAGTTCAATTAGAGCTGCTACAGTGAAGTTAGGGCTGTGTTTTCTTTCGACGACCTCCAAAAGTAGACACCAACCCCGTGATCCCTGAGTTATACTAATTTGGCCTAAGTCAGTGGTGGCTAACCTTTTTCGGTTCCTTGCCAAAAATTGTGTGCATGCTTGCACGCTCGCGTGCCAGCACCCAGAAGACAGTGCACGGCCCCCCATGCCCGCTATGCATGCGTGTGCAATACCCGCCCGCCCACCTCCACCACCCCCTTATCTACACTGTGCCTCACAGCTGATTTTGGGCCAGTTTGAGGCCTTTTTCAGCCTCCCAGAGGCTTGAGGAAGGCTTTGCCGGCCGAAAACTAACCCCGTTTCATCACTTTCGGTATTTTCAGAAAAACAGGAAGTGACGAAACGGGGCTAGTTTTCAGCCCGCAGAGCCTGCGGAAGCCTTCCTCAAGCCTTTGGGAGGCTGAAAAAGGCCTCAAACCTGCTGAAAATCAGCTGTGAGGCGCGCATGCGCAGTGAGGTGAGTTTGCCTGCAGCTGACGTGCCGGCACAAATGGCTCTCCATGCCACGTGTAGCACGCATCCCGTAAGTTCGCCATCACGGGCCTAAGTCATCTTCTGCAATCAGGGTCTGCCCGTTTTCCTTAACTCTTGTTAGGTTGGCATGTTTACGGACTCTTGCAGCGCTCCGATAAAAAATACGACGAAGCAATTAAGTGCTACCGAAATGCTCTGAAGCTGGATAAAGACAATCTGCAGATCCTCAGAGACCTTTCCCTGCTGCAGATCCAGATGAGAGACCTCGAAGGATATCGAGTAAGTGCTTACGTTTAATCAATCAGCCGCTGTCACCTTTAAATCCATTTGTGCCGCAGGACTTAAACACATTTTCGAAATTCTACACGGATTTGTAGGGAAGAGAGAGAAAGACGGAGGGAGAGAGAGAGGCAAAGAGAGACTGACAGACAGACAGAAAGATGGAGAGAGGGAGGGAGGGAGAGAAAGATAAAGAGATAGAAAGAGAGAGACAGACAGAGAAAGATGGAGGGAGGGTGAGAAAGACAGACAGAAAGAGATAGACAGGGAGAGAGAGAGAGAGAGACAAAGGGAGAGAAGGAGGGGGAGAGACAGAAAGGGAAGGAGGGAGAGAGAGGGAAGGAGAGAAAGGGAGGGAGAGGCAGACAGAAAGACAGGGAGGGAGAGAGGGAGAGAGAAAGGGAGGGAGGAAGAGGCAGAAAGACAGGGAGAGAGGGAGGGAGAGAAAGGGAGAGAGAAGCAGAAAGACGGAGGGAGGGAGGGAGAAAGACAGAGAAAGGGAGGGAGGGAGAGAAAAAGACAGGGAGAGAAAGAGAGAAAGAGAAAGGGAGGGAACGAGGGGAGACAGGCAGACAGAGAGAAAGGGAGGGAGAGACAGACAGAGAAAGACGGGAGGAAGAGAGAGAAAGACAGGGAGAAAAAGAGACAGAGAGAAAGAAAGGGAGGGAAGGGGTGGAGAGAGGCATTTGAATTACATTGATAAAATGCAAAATTACATATTTAATTTTCATAGTATCTTAAGTCTTGTCTCTATGGGCCACTTGTACATACACAATTTTAGCAAACAAATGATAACGCAAAAGGATCTTCTGAGTAGAACATTTGTATGTTCCAGCTTTCCTGTTTGTCCTGTCCATTGTGTTCTTTAAGGCCAGAGGGACCGTTTTAACAATAAATTGCCCATTTATTTTCCTTGGTTTGGTTAGGATCAGGTGTTACTGCTTAAGATGGTGTAGGGACTCCTGCTTCTATTCTATTCTAATAAATTTAGCTAATTTTCTCTGTTACTGGTAATGCTAGTCCCCTTGTTAATTGTCTAGTTTGACAGTGCGTAACCTGGCTTTCTCCTTGCTCCATTTCCTTAAAACCCTTCTTTTATTTTAACATTCTAGTTGACTTTTCCGTCTACTGTATAAATAGCTAAATAGAGTCAACCTGACGATGGATGGATGGATGAATGGATGAAAAGAAGGACGAGGGGGAGATATGATGGCAGTATTTCAATATTGAGGGGCTGCCCCAAAGAAGAGGCAGTCAAGCTATTTTCCAAAGCCCCTGAATGGCAGGACAAGAAGCAATGGGTGGGAACTCATCAAGGAGAGAAGCAGCCTAGAACTAAGGAGAAAATTTCCTAACAGTGAGAACAAATTAACCAGTGGAACAGCCTGCCACCAGAAGTTGTGAATGCTCCATCAGCGGAGGCTTTTAAGAAGACATTGGATAACCATTTGTCTGAAGTGGTGTAGGGTTTCCTTTCTAGGCAGGGGGTTAGACTAGAAGATCTCCAAGGTCCCTTCCAACTCTGTTATTTCTGCCAAAAGGGATGAACTAGCATCCATTTTAACCCCTATCTATACACCAAATTTTAAATGAGGATTGTTAAAACTAATCATTTAAAACTCCAAGTTTACTTCTTTGGATTTTCTAGTGGTTTTGCATTTCTGAGGGTTTTGATCCTTCGTATTGTTGATTTTAAATATTTTATTATTATTAAAAACTCCAAGTTTACTTCTTTGGATTTTCCTAGTGGTTTTGCATTTCTGAGGGTTTTGATCCTTCTTATCGTTGATTTTAAACCTTTTATTAAGAATGCACAGTATTCGGAATACCATTTTTACTTGTGTTCGTTGTTTCTTTAAAGGAAACCAGATACCAATTACTTCAGCTCCGGCCCACTCAAAGAGCATCCTGGATTGGCTACGCAATCGCGTATCATTTGTTAAAAGATTACGACATGGCCTTGAAATTATTAGAAGAATTTAGGAAAACCCAACAGGTAACATTTTATTCCGAAGGAGGGCCCATCCTAATATCTGTGATAAAAATTTGAGCAGCTCAATTTCTCCATGAAAATGCCTCCCTCTTCTATTATATTTAAAAGTAACATCTCCAAAGCCTGAAGGGAAATGAAATGCAGCTTTTTTTTTTTTAATTTGGAAGAAGTCTTTATTTTATTTTAATTGAAAAAATTCTTGATTGAAATTCAAAATATTAAAAAGTTTACAAAAATTCAAAATATTAAAGCATTCCTTATAACAGATGTGTCAATACCTTTCAACATCATTTTCTTGACAGTACACTAAGTACAGTACATACAATTAATCCTTGACAGTTGTTCATAGTATTAGTAATATTAATTCACAGTGCCTTAATAATATTAATAAAAAAGTAATTCACGTATATAGGTCGATGGTTCAAAGAAGAAAAACAATATCATATTAACACTAAGTACATTAATATATCTAAAAAAGATGTTGGGCATGCGCGATAAGGACTAACTGGGCAGGGAGGGGAGGGGCAGGCAAAGAGAGGCGGGGCCAGCCAGGGCCACAATTTGCCGGTTCTCCGAACTGTACAGAATCGTAACAACTGGTTCTATAGAACTGGTCTGAACAGGTAGAATCCCACCCCTGATTATAATGCTGGCTTAACTATTGTCAGTTGAAAGTCTGTGGAGATTCTCCATCATCCAGGTCATGGTTGTCCCAAAGGTACATTTTATAGGAGGCAACTGGACTTTCTTGGTTTTTTTTTTCTTTGAAGACGTTTTGCTTCTCATCCAAGAAGCTTCTTCAGCTCTGACCAGATAGTGGGAAATGGAAGGATTTATATTATTTATTCTTCTTTTGGGAATGGGCCATTTGTTCTTTATATGAATTTTAGGTGAAACTCAAAACTCACAAAACTGGTGGTAATGTCAACATATAAATGGCTTGGGTTTAAAATATATTGATCCTTTTTGTAAGGAAGACTTTTAAAATAATTTGGAAATAGTCCCCATTGTTTGAAGGGTGGGGGTGAACCAGATGACCTACGAGGTCCCAATTCTGATAATCTGTTACCTAAAAAAACAAGAAAGTCCAGTCGCCTCTTGAAAAAGCATCTTTGGGACATTGTCAGTTGACACAACTTTTTCTGATGCATAATTTATCCATATCAAAAGCGACCAAGTCCAGTGGATTTTTTTTTTTTTAAAAAAAATGCTACAACTGATGAGTTTCTACTCTGAACTATTTCAAATGCAGATTTTTCCTAAACTTAATGTTTTCTGGTCTTTTTATTCATTTGCAAAACAAAAACAAAAAACCCCTTTTTGGCTTCCCGACCAATTTATAAATCTCTTGGGTTATATTTCAGGTCCCCCCTAACAAAATCGACTACGAATATAGTGAATTAATATTGTACCAGAATCAAGTGATGAGAGAAGCAGATTTCTTTCAAGAATCATTGGACCATATAGAAACTTACGAAAGGCAAATCTGCGATAAACTCATGATAGACGAGATTAAAGGTAAGGTTTTTTTTATAAGCCCTTAATTATCCTTAATTTTTCATAGCCCCCTTCCTTCCTTCCTTCCTTCCTTCCTTCCTTCCTTCCTTCCTAACCCTCCTTCCCTTTTCCTTCCTTCCCTTCTTTCTATCCCTCCCTCTTCCTTCCTTTCTATCCCTCCCTCCCTCTTCCTTCCTTCCTTCCTTTCTTTTTTACATAACTTTTAATCAGAAGTTTGGGGTTATTTTTTCCCCTTGGCTATCTCTTTGTCTATAAACTGTAATTTAGAAAGCACAAGTTTGCTGAATCATTTTAGCTGTTTTAAGGTTTGCGATCTTGCTTGTCGTTTCACTGCTGTGACACAGTGGCACCATTTGAGCTGTTCTAACACATTTCCAAAATTGGGGCACAGACAGCACAAAGAACTCCACAGAGGACCAGTTTCTCACTTCCGACCTGTTCGTGGCTGAAGGCACGCTATGGGTGGGGTAGACCATGTGGGGGTCAGATTATCTGTGCTGTTACTATTTTAGAAGAAATTGTAAGTGGGGTCCTTGCTACTCTCTGAGCTTCGTGGTTTTCTTGCAGACGTTTCATTACCTAACTAGGTAACATCATTAGGGCTAGAAGGGAGGAGGGTTTGTGGAGAGGAGGAGGAGGACTGTGGGGTCCTTGGTGCTCTCTGAGCTTGGCAGCTTTATTGCAGACATTTCATGACGCAACTAGGGAGCCTCAGCAAGTGCTAGACAAACATCATCTAGCACTGATGATGTTACCTAGTTTTGGCCATGAATTGTCTGGAAGAAAGCAGCCAAGCTTAGAGAGCACCAAGGACCCCACAGTCTTCCTCCTCCTCCTCTCCACAAACCCTCCTCCCTTCTAGCCATAATGATGTTACCTAGTTAGGTAATGAAATGTCTGCAAGAAAACCACCAAGCTCAGAGAGCACCCAGGACCCATCATTTCAACCCTGACCTACCTGTAATGACCTGGGGTGTGAAACAAAAATAACAAAGTCACAAAAGCAGATAAATTCCCTTCAATACTTCCAAATTGTCGTTGTCCAGTTATCCTCGGCTGGAGATCAAACTCTTCGAAAAATAGTCTACAAAGGGAAGAAATGCAGTCTGAACCCAAAATACAGATAAATTAGAAATAAAAACAACACAAACCACGCTGAAGTAATTAACATGATAGGCCAGGATGATCAATTGCAGACTTCCAAAAGATAATTAAGCACAACAGTTGGGAGGACGCCAAAACCCAGATAAGCCTCAACAGAGATAATGCACACTTTGCTTCCAGCAAGATACTGTGTGCAAACGCCCTTCTCATGTCCTGTTCTCCCAGCTGCAACTAATGAAGGGGATCAGGGCCCTTTTCTCTCCCGTAAGCCACATTGCTCCTTTCTCCGTTCTGCATGCCCTAGGATGAAGACGGGGTGGCCCTGGGACTTCCTCTGAATGCCTAGCCGGACTGTACCTTTCCCCAGTTTCCTCCACAACCACTGGAACCACACTCCCACTCCCCGTCAGCTGCTCAATTCCCCCCCGCCCTACAATCAGACTCCAACAAGGGCATGACACTACCCTTTATTCTCCTTTATATTGTAACTGTACGAATCAGTCCTTTTCAGCGTCCGAAGCTTTTCCATATTTTTTTTAAAAAGTCAGGTGAGATTATATTCTTGCCGCAGGTGAAATGTTGCTGAATTTGGGGCGCCTGGAAGAAGCGGCTGAAATCTATCGGGAGCTTATCGATCGCAATGCAGAATGTTGGAGTTACTACGAGGGCCTGGAAAAAGCTCTGCAGCCACGTAAGCAACGGGATTGTACATTTCGCTTCAAGCGTTTTAAGGGGACTGAAGAAAATATGGTGTCAGGGGAGCCAATGCATTTAGGGAAATATAGATAGAGTCACAAGTGGGAGGGGATGGGTGATAAGGAATGATGAGAAGATTAATAGTAGTAATAGTGCAGACTTTGTAAATAGTTGGAGAGTGTTGAGGGAATTATTTGTTTAGCAGAGTGATGGCATTTGGGAAAAAAAAGTTCTTGTGTCTAGTTGTTCTGGTTTGCAGTGCTGTACAGCATCGTTTTGAGGGAAGAAGTTGAAACAGTTTATGTCCAGGATGTGAGGGGTATGTAGATATTTTCACAGCCCTCTTTTTGACTCGTGCAGGATACATGTCCTCCTCCATGGAAGGCAGGTTGGTAGCCATTGTTTTTTCTGCAGTCCTAATTACTCTCTGGAGTCCGTGTCTGTCCTGTTGGGTTGCAGACCCAAACCAGACCGTTACAGAGGTGCAGATGACAGACTCCATCCTTCCTCGGTAGAACTGGATCAGCAATTCCTTGGGCAGTTTGAGCTTCCTGAGTTGGCTCAGAAAGAACATTCTTTGTTGTGCTTTTTTGATAACGTTTTTGATGTTAGGTGTCCATTTTAGGTCTTGTGATATGATAGAACCTAGACATTTGAAGGTCTCTACTGCTGATACTGTGTTGTCTGGTATTGTAAGAGGTGGTAGTATGGAAGGGTTTCTTCTAAAGTCTACCACCGTTTCTACGGTTTTATAACTATAATTATAACTCAAATTATAAGGGATACGTTGGGCTGTATCCAAATTTAAATGGAGTGGGATGCTAATTGCTAGGATGAACAATTCACCCAATTCTAGTTTTTGGAGGTGGGTTGTGAATAGTAAAACGACTTGTTTAAATGAAGTAAAAATACTAGATTTAATGCTTGCACAAATACGGATTCAGGTTTTTTGCTCGCAGGAAAACTTCCGGCGAGTGAAACTGAAGAATTGGATTTAGCTCAATGTTCTACATTGCTGCTTGTTCCTGAACCGTGTGACTTTAAGGCATAACAACTCCCATTTCACATTTGTCATTTGTCAACAGACTCTTTAGAAGAGAGGCTAGAATTGTATGAAGAAATAAGCAAACAACATCCGCGGGCTGTCTCCCCTCGAAGGCTACCTTTAAACTTCGTCACAGGTAACACGTTGCCATCTATATCGTACAGCTCCACGATACTTAAAAAGTATTGGTTTCCCCCATTTGGATTTCATCTGCAGTGGAAGATTCGTCTTTGGTTTTCTTTCAAAATATATATTTTATTTTGTTTAGATACCACCATGAACCGAAAAGCAATTTTCAGACACAAAGCATCCAGAAAACCTTAAGGGCTTTCAAGAAAAGCTATGCTTAGCTGGATTTTATTCAGAGCCAATAACTTGAATTGCTGTGGATAAAAGCAGCTTTCTGGGAATCTGGGAATATTTATCTTTAATAGGAAATACTCAGCTATCTCTTTGAACCAACACTGGTGATTAGTGGGGATGCTATTGCCAATCTCCTAAAAAGATACCGGAAGTATTATTATTTTTTAAATGTATTTGTATCCCACCGGTAGTATTTTTACAAACAATTCAAGGCAGCACTCATGTCCAACATAACCTCCTCCTCCTATTTTCCCCACAATAACAACCCCGTGAGGTTGAGTGGGTTGAGAGAGAGAGTGACTGGCTCAAAGTCACCTAGCTGGTTTTCATGTAAAAAGGACTAGAATTCCCAGTCTCCTGGTAATTATCCCAAAGTCACCCAGCTGGCTTTCATGCTTAAGGTGGGACTAGAATTCACAGTCTCCTAGTGATTGATTGGTCCAGAATCACCCAATTGGCTTTCGTGCCTAAGGCAGAACTAGAACTCACTGTCTCCTAGTGATTGGTCCAAAGTCACCCAGCTGGCTTTCATGACGTAAGGCAGGACTAGAACTCACTGTCTCCTAGTGATTGGTCCAGAATCACCCAACTGGCTTTCATGTCTAAAGTGGGACTAGAACTTCCAGTCTCACCGCAATTGGTCCAAAGTCACCCGATTGGCTTTCACGCCTAAGACAGGACTAGAACTCACTGTCTCCTAGTGATTGGTTCAAAGTCACCAAGCCAGCTTTCATGACGTTAGACAGGACTGGAACTCACCGTCTCCTGGTTTCTAGTCTAGAGCCTTAACCACTAGACCAAACTGACTCTCCAAAGGTACCTTGGCAATTGATTCAACTTCAGTACCTGAGCACACCTATAAATCTCGATGGAGAAGATGATTGAATCTCCCCATCAGTGCCATTGATGGTCGATTACTTGTAAGAGTGCAAGAAATACGATCAAAATAGTTGGGAGTGATAAAGTACCAATAGAAACAAATATTTGTAGCTCAGGGTTGAACTGTGGGGCCCTTGGTAGACTCTGAGCTTGAGTGTTTTCATTTCATTACCTGATCAGGTTAACATCATCAGTGAGTGAGGTTTGCAAACCCCATTTCCTTCTAACATTGATACTAAATTGGCACCAGACAAAGATCAATGGAATTCAAGAGGTGCTGGACTTAGACTGTTTATGAGAATGTAATGATTCTAGGCTGATAACTTGCTTAACTCTGCCCCCACTCTTTGCTTACTCTTCTACATCAGTACGAGCAAAGCATTTATATACAGAGAAAAGACCGGTTTGTGAGAACATGTAAAGTTTTGATGAAACTTCTCAGAGCCCAGGGATTGGAGTTAGTGTAAAAGGCTGCTCTGTGTGCATAAGAATTAGATGTTTATTATACAATTATTGACTGCATCCCTCTCTAAATTGAGGATTGCGAAGTAAGATTATTTCTCAAAACCCGAACAGCTTGCAGGTGAATCAACCACGAAAAATGAGTATCTAATTCTTATATCTTCTATTGGATATTTTCAGTATCATTCTGTGTAATTGCAATCTATTTTGCATTTGGTGTCTTCCAGCATCTAATATTAGCCACCAGTTTTAATAGGCCAGGATCTCCTTAACAACTACCGTTGCGTAGTGACTGAACAACTTGTGATTGTTGTTAATTCCATCCAGAGAAGTTAAGCAGCAATAGCAGACCATCATGTATTGTACATTATGGGTTGTGAGAATGAATTTGTCCCCAGCAATCTTCAAAAATCAGTTTGCTTAACAGCAATCTACATATATTATGCAAATGGAGCCAATTTCCACAATTTTTCTAAAGGAATACAAGTTACAGTGTGAACTTCTCAAAATAGGTTCTTTTGTTATATTGCTGTCTTTGAGATTTTTCATACTTTATGCAAAATGAACAGCAAGTTATTGTAATATAACCTATATGTTTTTGGCTTCCAGGTGAAAAATTTAGAGAATTGTTGGATAAATTCCTAAGGGTTAACTTCAGCAAAGGTTGCCCGCCCCTGTTTACAACTTTGAAGTCTTTGTACTACAGTACAGAAAAGGTCAGTTTTCTTCCAATCCCGATTGCACATATTTGTATCTTCTAGATAAATAAAAGTGAAATACCCCTCACGCATCATCACAAAATCTCCAGAACCGTAAAGCCTACAAACTTGAAATTTGGCACCTATGTTCTTCCTGGCTTCTAGCGGCTCACTAAGAAAGGATTTTTCAAAATGACCACCGGAGCATTAGTATTTCCTATATTATTATTATTAACATGCTCTGATGCTAAGGAGTTCTACTCCCCCTCCCCACCTGAAAAAAAGAAATCTCTTCCAAATGCAAAACACAAGCAGAGGAGTTTCACTTTCACAGCACCAAGCAGCTTTAGTACAGAATAGTTGAGCTAAGCCACGCCCAGGCTCCTTGCTGTCTTCTTGCTCACACAGCAAATACTGTTTCAGTTTCCAAATAGCCCTCAACTCTCTCACACACTGACTGGACGCTAGCCAGAGGAATACCGATGGATGCTGGTAGGCAGAGGCAGAATTCCCCCCCACCCCATTTTCCTCCCCGAAAACTAAGCCTGATCACATAGTTTCATAGCGAAGCAACAGGTATCTAGCAAGTATTGATAGATAGATAGATAGATAGATAGATAGATAGATAGATAGATAGATAGATAGATAGATAGATAGATAGATAAAACAGCATTTGTATACTTCACAAATCATTCAACAGTAATTATTTTCTGATAATATCTGTTGGATAGAACCGGTTGGGAAAGTAGGTTCTTGTTTTTTTCAAAAAAGTCAAATTGGACCGCTCATTGTATCTTCAAGAAAAAGTAAGGATGCATTAATTCTCACAATGGAAGAATTGATTGAGCTAGCAGAGATGCTCGAATTAACTGTTTTAATCAAAGAAAAGAGTACTTTATACTTTATTTGAACGTGGAACGCTTCTAGATTCTGTGCTCGAGATAGAAAAATAATGAAATTCTGACTTTGGGATTTAAGGATTAGATAAATTCGTTATTGCAGAAATGGTTACTACATATTAAATATGAAAAAGTAAGAAGAAAGAGACTGTAACGTTAATATCTTTATTCTACAGCGCTGAAAATATTTGAAAGTCGATGCTTTTTTTTTTTAACCTCATACTTCTCTTTTCCCCCTTTCTACTGCTCCAATTTTCACTTTTATCTTTATTTTTCCTTATTTTTTTATTTTTTGATACATTTAATAATAATAATTAAAAAGAACATTTTCCAACATTTTATTTGGGAAAATAACTGCTGCCAAAAAAGGACACTAGATGCCAGCAAAGAGAGGCAGGCAAACACTCTTTATCGCCATCTAGTGGTTTTCCAAGGAGGTGTTTTCAAGAACGTACAACAAAAAGTACAGAAAATACTGTAACGTTCTGTCAAGTTAAGAAATTGCAATGTTTGTTGTTCCATTAAGTGATGCGCTTTATAGAGAGAATGAATGAATGCTAATTAAGACAGTAACCCCAGGAGTAATAAAATACCAATTTCTTTACTCTCTTTTTGCAGATTTCAACAATTGAAGAGCTGGTAATTAGTTATGAAGCTTCTTTGAAAACCTGTCACCTGTTTAGTCCAGATGGTAAGATTTGGTGCTGAGGAACGGAGCTAAAACGCAAAGTTTAATGAGTGTAACCTGGACTGATATAGCTTCACCGGGGAGGGAATCCATTTTCTAGGAACCAAGCCTTTTGAGAATATGTACTTCTGGGTTAAGTGTTGCAAATTGTTCTGTGTGTGTGTGTGTTGCAGAAAATGGAGAGCTTGAACCGCCAACGACGCTGCTCTGGGTGCGGTATTTCCTTGCCCAACATTTTGACAAGCTTGGCCAATTTTCCTTGGCATTGGATTACATCAACTCTGCTGTGACGAGTACTCCGACGTTAATAGAGCTGTTCTATTTGAAAGCCAAAATTTATAAGGTTAACGGCCCTTCCTTTAATATCCCATGTTCAGAATACATGATTATTGCTGTGTGTGTGTTTCATGTAACTTGATAATGCACCTAAAGACAAAGGTAGATAGTGAAGCGGATGGTTTGACTTGTAGAATAGAATAGTGTAGAGTAGGGTAGGACAGGATAGGATAGGATAGGATAGGAGAATAGAATAGAATAGAATAGAATAGAATAGAATAGAATAGAATAGAATAGAATAGAATAGAATAGAATAGAATAGAATAGAATAGAATAGAATAGAATAGAACAGAACAGAACAGAACAGAACAGAACAGAACAGAATAGAATAGAATAGAATAGAATAGAATAGAATAGAATAGAACAGAACAGAACATAGGATAGGAGAAGAGAAGAGAAGATAGGAGAGGAGAGGAGAAGAGAAGAGAAGAGAAGAGAAGAGAATTAAATAGGATAGGATAGGACAGGACAGGACAGGATGAGAATAGAGGATAGGACAGAACGGAATAGAATAAAGAACAGAATTCGATAGGATAGGATGAAAATAGAGAACAGAATAGAATGAGGATAGAGGATAAGATAGGATAGAATAGAATAGAATAAGAGTAGAGTAGAACAGTATAGACTAGAGAATAAAATTAGGATAGGATAGAATAGAGAATAGGATAGGATAGAAGATAAGGATAGGATAGGATAATAGAATGGGACAGGAGAATAGAATAGAACATAGGATAGGAGAAGAGGAGAGAATAGAATTAAATAGGATAGGATAGGATGAGAATGTAGGATAGACAGAACAGAATATAATAAAGAACAGAATTCGATAGGATAGAATAGGGTGAGAATAGAGAGCAGAATAGAACAGAATGAGGATAGAAGATAAGAGAGGATAGAATAGAATAAGAGGATAGAGTAGAACGGAACAGAATAGAATAGAGAATAGAATTAGGAATAGGATGAGAATAGAGGACAGATGAGAAAAGAATAGAATATTTATTGATTAAATCATTTGAACTTGTAGAAAATATCTCTGGGTATTTTGGTATATATATATGAGTATTTTGGTATATATCCCACAGACAAATGTCAATTCAGAACAGAACACAATGTTAGAGGGCCAGTAACCTCTGAACCTATAATATTAGGAAGAATTAGGATTTCGTTTGTATACCACTTTTTGTTCTTGAGAAAAACCTAGATTTGTTCTACACGCTAATGCTCTGCAATTAATGCTTGTGATTCGTCAGCTGTGACAGTTTTCTAATTATGATCCTTTTTTTAAAAATCAGCACATTCCAAGTTTATTGTTCACCTAATGACCTAGGATAGAGAGGGCTGTAATGTTATCCTCCTAACATTTCGAGTGAAGGGGAGATTTTTAAAATATTACCATTTCAGGCTCTCCGTAGCACCTTCCTTGTTGAATGGAATGAAACTGAAAATAGATTTCTCTTGCCCCAATATAGCATGTGGGCAACCTCAAGGAAGCGGCCAGATGGATGGATGAGGCCCAGTCCTTGGATACGGCAGACAGATTCATCAATTCCAAGTGCGCAAAATACATGCTGAGAGCCAATTTGGTCAAGGAAGCCGAGGAGATGTGTTCCAAATTCACACGGGTAAAAGAAAAATAATTATATTATCACAAAAGGGTAACAGTAGTATTTTCCCACGTCATTGTAGTTGTGCTTTTAAAATTGTAGCAACGTTTCGGCAGAATCTCATCTGCCATCATCAGGCTTCTGTATATGATGATGGCAGATGAGATTCTGCCGAAACGTTGCTACAATTTTAAAAGCACAACTATAATGACATGGGAAAATACCCGAACAAAGCTGAATACCATACATGTAAGTACCCGCGAAAACTTAAGAACACACACACACACACACACAGACACATATATATATATATTTGTTTTGTGAGGTTCTCGCGGGTATTAGTATGTGGATCTTTGGTTATTCGGGTTTTCTCCCGCGTAAGATTGGAGGTATCTAGGCAACGTTTCGATGAAGTCTCATTCATCATATTCAGGCTTGTGTCTTCGGCTCTGTACTTCTCAGAGTGATGTGAGCTTGCAGCTGCTTCTTCCTTTTAACTGCTAGTGGGGGTGTGACTTGATTGGGTGGG